CTCTGTCTTTTGCCTTTGTGTACCCTTTTTCTGCAAGAATACACAAAGGGGGGCAAGCTGTAGACACCGTATTTGGTCCGGCTCGCCTTCGTTTTAAAAAAAAAAATTTACTGATTTATTTATTATTATTTTGTTTTATGTTTATTGATTTAGTTTAAAATAACATAATTTACTTTATTATAAAATTTAATGTAAAGTTTTAATTAAATCAAATTAAGTTTTAAAATTAGATTTTATTTGAAAATAATTGTTTTTTTAAATTGATTTTAAGATTAAAAAAAACAGTTTTTCTCCCCTTTGATTTTTTCCTTCATACGTGTATCCCCTCCCCTTCTTCTCGTCCCTCTTTTTCTCTCTTCTCTTGCCCGTTTTTATTTTTTATCGTTATTTTTAGGTGTATTTAAGAAAGGTTGCAGTGGGGATGAGAGGAGACAGAACACCCATACAGAGAAGAATTTACTTTCTTCTTTCTCTCTACCATCACCTTCTCTTCTTCTTCACCTGGGCCGGCGATCCCGACGATACATAGACCGCACACGTCCCCCGGTGATCACAAGTTCAGACAACCTGCACAATAGTAGTCCGGCGTAAAACTTCTACAACCGACGCACGGATCACCGACCACCTGACTTCGACCTCGAGTGCTCCTTCACGGTTTTCAAACCCGCGGGCACACCCAGAATTTCCTCACTGCAGTACGTGGTATAGAAAAAAGTGGTTTTAAAAATGATTTTTTTTATTTGTTTTAAATATGCTTGTTTTAAATTTGATATATATATATATATATATTTTTAAAATAAATTTGTTTAAATATGATTTGATATATTTTAAAATAAATTTGTTTAAATATGATTTGATATATTTTAAAATAAATTTGTTTAAATATGATTTGATATATTTAAAAAAAGTTTGTTTTAAATATGATTTGATTATTTTTAAAATAAGTTTGTTTTAAAAATGATTTGATTATTTTTAAAATAAGTTTGTTTTAAATATGATTTGATTATTTTTAAAATAGGTTTGTTTTAAATATGATTTTTTTTATTTTATTATTATTATTTTTTTTTCGATTTTAGTTTTATTTTTTTTAAAACAATTTTTTTAAAATAAAGATTTGTATGATAAAAATTAAAACTAAGTTGTATCCATGTGGTGTTGGCATAGTGGTAGGTTACTGTAATATCTTAGGATGTTGGCACATTGGTAAGAAGTTTGTATATGAATTCTCATATCACAAGTTCATGTCTTGATGGGCCCTACACTAAAATTATTTTTTATTTATTAATTTTTCTTTTCTAGCAAATAATTATTTCGAAAATCCCAATGACAGAAATTGGATCTTTCCAATATTCTCGAGGTGATAATTTGTTTTTCTAATGGTCTTTGCGCTACTCATGCTTCTTGGTTCATATTTTATCGTAAAATATGAACCAATAAATTTGGGACATTTAAAATCAAACACCAAAGTATTTTTCTTTTTAGACCAAAGTATAATAGGATAATTTTTGACAAAATATGGTACCATTTTCGAACGGGTGTCGTAGGGTGCTAACACCTTCCCCACGCTCAACCGACTTGCAAACCAAAATTCTGTTTTCGTAGACCAAGTTTTTTAAATAGGTGATCAATCACACCTCGTAGATGATTGGTGGCGACTCCAAACCTTAAATCTCGAAAGAGACCTGTCAGGGGATGGCGTCGGCCGCTCCGCGTCACGATGACGTTTCGACACAACCATAATTTGAAAAACAGAATCAGTTGGGATTTGATTTGGGTCAAATTTAATTTAAGAATCAAATGAAAATTTTCAATCATAATTTGAAAAAGAAAATCATATTTGAGTTGGGATTTCGATTAATTTAAGAATCCAAACAAATTTCCAACCATAATTTGAAAAATGAATTCTATTTGAATTGGGATTTGGTTTATTATTCTGTTTGAACCCCAACTTTTTTTGACTATAAATTGAGCCTTCACATTTGTAGAAGCACAACAAAAGTCTGGAAAGGTTGGCTCTAAATTTCCTTCCCTTTTTTTTCTTAAATTATTGACTGCTAGTATTCACGTTATTCCCAACTTTGGATTATCATCGAAGTTTCTGCTCGCCCGTCTCATTTACATCGACAAAGAGTAAGAAATCTGTCTTTGCAATTTCTACTGCATGAATTTTTTTCCTTCTTCCTCTACAAGCAAAA